TCAGAAAAGTTTCTACTTTTATGAGGGGGGAGGCACAAAAAGTTTCCCTTCAGTATGGAGGGTGGTCAAAAAAGTTTTCAATCCTTATTTTCCCCATCCCCCCCTCCCCATAAATAATGACCACTCCCTTAGTCGTATAGGTGTTAATGTGGGTGTATATATAGACCTGCCTAAATATTGCTCTGGGCCCTGTGGCTGTAATCCCATATAATATGTTATTAACCTGTTAAGTGGGAATGCCAGATAATGTTTAATGCCAGATAAACGTTTGTTTACGACGGTCAGTTACAGCTCTGTATGTCTCTCCTCTGTGACTGTGATTACAAAAAATTCCACTGTGATTACAGAAAATTCCACTGTGATTACAGAAAATTGCACTGTGATTACAGAAAATTGCACTGCTGTTTGGGATTAACTGCACTGAAATCAACATATCACAGACGAGTAATATCTTTATGTATATTATTAATTGAGAAAACAAGCATTTTCAACAGTTTCCAGTTACACTCTCAGCAAAACGTTACTGTCAAAAACTTACACTGAAAACAAGCCATATTTGAAGAGTCATTCCAAAGGAAATCCCCACCCTGCTTTAATTGTAAGGGAAAAAATCTCTTATTGATTCGATCTGCATGTTTGTCACGTGAAACCTATTTGCGGGAGAGGGTTCTACACACCTAGAAACGCACAAGTTGTTACAGGACTGCAAACAATTGTTACAAATCTGTTCACAAGCTGTCAACAAGTTGTGTTCGCACTGCTTGTTCCCAATTGTTGTAACAAGTTTGGAACAAGTTGTTAACAACTTGTAGCAAGCTTGATGGCATTATCAGACTTGTAGCAAAATTGTTCTAACAAGTCTGATACAGTCATGATATAGCAAGAATGTTACAAGGTTGATGACACAAGGTTGTAACAATATTGTTATATCATAACTGTATCGGACGTGTTGGAACAACCTTGTAACAAGTCTGATAATATCAACAAGGTTGTTACAAGTTGTTAACAGTTTGTTCCAAACTTGTTGACAACTTGGGACAAGCAGTGCGAAGACAACTTAATTCTTGACAACTTGTTGGCAGCTTGCTACAAGATGTGAGACTTTTGCGTGTGTACACGCATAAAAACGCACAGCTTGTAACACGTCTGCAAACAAGTTGTTACAAGTCTGTTCACAAACGGTCAACAAGTTGTGTTCGCACTACTTGTTCCCAGTTTGTTGTAACAAGTTTGGAACAAGCTGTTAACAACTTGTAACAAGCTTGATGGCATTATCAGCCTTGTTACAAGACTGTGCTAACAAGTTTGTTACAGCCATGATATAACAAGGATGTTACACGGCTGTCAACACAAGGTTGTAACAATCATGTTATATCAAGCATGTAACAGACTTGTCAGAACAACCTTGCAACAAGTCTGATAATTTTAACAAGGTTGTTACAAGTTGTCAAAAAGTTGTTCCAAACCTGTTGACAACTTGTGACAAGCAGTGCGAATACATCTTGTTGACGGCTTGTTGACAGATTTGTTACAAGATTTGAAATTTTTACGTGTGTACTGTACACGCGTAAAAAATATAACACCGTGTAACAAGTCTGCTAACAAGCCGTAAACAAATTGTGCGCGCACTGCTTGTCCCAAGTTGTCAACAAGTTTGGAACAAGCTGTTAACAACTTGTAACAACCTTGTTGATATTATTGTACTTGTTGCAAGGTTGTTCCAACAAGCCCGTTACAGTCGTGATATAACAATGTTGTTACAACCTTGTTATGTCAAACTTGTAACATTCTTGTTATATCATGACTGAATCAGACTTGTTAGAACAATCTTGTTACAACTCTGATAATATCATCAAGCTTGTTCCAAGTTGTTAACAACTTGTTCCAAGCTTGTTACAAGAACTGGGAACAAGTAGTGCGAACACAAGTTGCTGACAGCTTGTGAACAGATTTGTGACAACTTGTTTGCTGACCTGTAACAACTTGTGCGCACACACGTAAAAATCTGACACAGAGGAGGGAGGGTCAGAAGAATCGACGAAGAAGCGAATTGCTCACTTGTTGGTAAAACCCCTTCCTTCACGATTGTATTAACATCAGTTTCTTTCAGTCCGGTAAGCTCGTAAAACCGTTCTTGGACTTGTGTTTCATCATTGGGACTTTATCTAATCCCGGTGCCTTATTTGAGGAAAAAGACATGGTGATCTGCTGTACATCACTACATGAAACCGGATGGAAATGAAATTGATCTGACACAGGAATTTGAGCAGGTGCTGGTAAGTCTATGGTTGGTAGCTAGATTATATTTAGTTAAAAGTGCAGTAGCAGACTCTGATGCTTTAATTCCCACTGTCGTGAAAAAGGAATTGAACTCCTCCACTAGTTCCGTGATATTTCTTGAATATTAAGTTCCGTTGACTCTTCACGGGGTAGGCAGTTCCTTATAACTTTCCACATAGAACTCCTGTTTAAGTTTTTATGAATTTCATTCTGTACATACTTCCTTTCAGATTCACGTAACGCCTTATTTACAGTCTGTCTACAAATATGGTAATTTTCCCAATCTGTTGTCATCTTGGTTCGTCGTGCAAGCTTATGTAATTTATTTATCTCTCTTTTTCATAAGTTCTTTAATCTCTCTATACTCATAAATGGACACCGGCGATATCTTATTTTCATGCTCTTAACCGGTGCATGTTTTTCCAAGATACTCAAAAAGTGACCATTAAATGAGGAGAGTTTTTCATTCACATCTTCAATTGAAAAATTTTCATGCCAAGGAATTTGTGCTAAATCCATGACAAATTGATTTCGATCGTAATCTTTAAAACTTCGTGCATTGATATATGATGGTTTTAGTTTTGGCTTTTTTAAATTAAGTTCACAACTAACCAAGAAATGATCACTAATGTTAACTTCTACTACTCCACTTTTCACAATCAGACTTTCACTGGATGTCATGATCACATCTATCAGGCTGGATGATTGCAATGTTACCCGCGTAGGTTTATCGATTAATTGCACGAGATTTAAACTACAGCATATATCTCTCAATGCCTCCGCTTCATGGGTTGTTTTTAACAAATTGCAGTTTAAGTCTCCCACAACCAAAATATCCTTACCATATATAAGTGCCCCTGTGTATTCAGCCATAAAATTATTCGTAAAGCACGAAACCGGACAACCAGGAGGTCTGTAACAAACACATAACAATATCGATCTAAGTTTCTTGTGCTGGATTTGTATCCACAATTGGTGGAAACCGGAATCGGAGATTTCAGTTAAATCGTGGAGAACTTAAAAAAAATGCAAGCCATCTTCATGGTGGAATGAAGTTAAAAAACTGAGTGGTTGTTCCCCGTCCAGCTCCACACAGGGTAACCTTGCTAAGTCTCTTCAACATCAATATGGAGCATTGGACGAAGTGAGTTTAGCAAATACCATTAACGAAGCT